AAAAGTTATTTGGGATTTAAATTTTATTTGCATACAAAATGCTTATTGCATAATTTAAACCACAAGTTGGCCTTAGTTAGCTTACATATTCAATATTCATTGCATAGGGTAACCACAAGTGAGCCACATTGTTTGTATGTACACTGAGAATCATGTATAGGGCTAGAACCACAAGTTGGCCATTTATAGATTATAGGTTAGGGCTAGAACCACAAGTTGGCCATTTATAGATTATTGGTTAGGGCTAGAACCACAAGTCAGCCGGGTTGTAAAATAGACTATTTAAGGAGGGGCTTTCCCCCCCTCATTACAATTTTTCATCATCAGATCATCTCATTCCATCATCAGATCATCTCATTCCATCATCAGATCATCTCATCACAACAGATCATCATCTCATCTGATCATCAACCAGACAGAACAGAGCAATCAATCCATACATTAACCAGTGTGATCTTAATCAAGTGCCCCATTGAGATCATTCAGACTTTGAGAAGCATAGCAAAAGGAAAGTAAACAACCAGTACAACTTGTGACCTTAAAAACAAGATACAGTGATCTTAAACCATTGTGCTCCCAAACAAGGTTAAGGAAGAAGGAAAAGACAAATAAACACATTTTTTTCTCAGTAGTATCTCATAAATTATCATTCATTATCAGTACATACGTCAATCATTTTTCAAAATACATAAACATATAAACAAAAACACCTCTTACTCAACAATTCCACTCCAATAGTCTGCTGAATTCCCGTTGATCTTGGTTTGATAAGAGACTGCTACACACAGTTTTCTCTATCATCAGTTTTGCCACAACAATAAAAATAAATTGTTGTGTTAACTCTTGTGTAGTACAATAGAGGGGCAGGTCTTTCAAACCAGCCGTAACAGTTGTAGTAGATCATTACATACGTGATATATCTCATCTGCTATTTCCCCCTCACAGGACTGCCACCATTCCCAAAGGAGTTCTCACAGCGGATAACGGGTATCCGCGACGGATACCCTTCGACCATCTCTAGGTAAAAAGGTGTAACAGGTTTTGATTGGTCTTACCACATTGCATGTACTTTCACAACACACCATCAAAAATACCTCAACATAGAAGGAACATCCTGAAACACATGTGATTTTCTGTATGGGGCAGTGCAGATCACATGACACACCAGCAAAATAGCTCAATAGAAGTTTCCAAGCATCAAAAATCCCTCAAAGAGGAAGTCTCCAGCATAAATCCCTCACAGGACTTCCCCACTAGCAAAAATCCCTCACAATCTACATATAACTAAAAAAATGGCCTCAGAGGGCCAAACAAACTGTCAGCCTTTGTATTGATTTCTCATGCGGCTTCTAACGCCGGCGTCGATGTTGCACATGTCAATGTCATTTAAGACTTTACAATCATAGCGACCTTCAAAAGCGAAGGACATACACCATAAGACCTTCAAACAAGTAAAATCCCCAACATCCGGGGCAAAAAAGCAGCCTCCCCAAATTTGGGGGCATATACTAGTTTACTATATAAGAAGGCCAATCCTCCCTCCTCAGATCAGTTCCTCATGCCAATCTGGCACACCTACCAGACACACACACCTTAGTCAGAGTCTTCAGTCAAATTAAGGTCACATCAAACAGTATGATTTCAATCAGGTGTCCCATCAAGATCCTTCATACCTCAGGAAGCATAGAAGAAGTCAAGTAGAAAGCATCACCTCTTGTGCTCTTAACAAGTCAAAGTCATCTTAACCCAATTTTTCTCCTAACTGAAGGTCAAGGAGGAGGGCAAAGACACCTTGAATAGTTCATATTATCATCAATTTCCTCTCAGTCTTCTCACATATCAAAACTTTACCTTAAGTCACTCATAGAAACACATAAAACATACAAAAATATCTCATGGTTCTTACACACAATGGTGGGCCGCTAAATTACACTACGCTAAATGGCCCACTAATGTTAGCCTAGCGCCCCTCAAAACAGTGTGCAAACCTGTAGTGTTAGAGTGCTGCTAATGCCACTACACTAAGTCATGCTGCCCTACAGCACTTTCTAGCGGCAAAAACAGCCCAAAAGAGGCTAAAATGTGCTGAATTTTGCTAAGTTATGCTACACTGTTGTTACACATCTTTCCATTATCTATTTCCAGCCTGCTTTAAAACACACCAAAAAATCTTTCCACTCAGAAATTACACTAACTCTTCTGCTGAATCCATGTTGGTCTAGGTTTGATAAGAAAATACTACATATAGTTTCTCTATCATCATTTTTTTTGCCACAACAATTAAATAGATTTGTTGTCAGAATTCTAGTGTAGTACATTAGAGGGGCAGGTCTTTCAGACCACCCGTAACAGTTGTAATAAATTCATACATACCTGAAATATCATAACTTATATTTCCCCCTCACAGGACTGCCATCCAAACCAAAAGGAGTTCCCACACCGCCAGGAGGTGCCAGGTGTCTGTATTTGGGCAAAAAAAACATGTGGTACCATGGGTACCACTACCGCAGTCACCACCCTACTTCCCCAACATAGGGTGGGGGGCTGCATATTTTACAATGAATATGAAAAAATTGACAACATTGAGCAGATCAAGGAGTGAACACTGAAAACAATAAATATGAAAAAAGTGAAAAAGTGACTAAAAATGAAAAAAGAGACTTGGGACTCTGGGAGAGAAAAAAATAAATATGAAAAAAATGAAAAAGTGACTTGGGAATCTGGGAGTTAAACTAGGTGAGAAAGAGAGGGGAGGTACCCATGTTACCTGCCAAAAGGACCACTACTGCTGGTACCCACCAGGAGGTGCCAGGTGCAGTACTTCACTTGGTGCCCATTTTCTGAAGAAATTCAACAAGTACCCAAGTACAAACAAACAATCTCTAATAAAAACTTAACATCTTTTCACAATATGAAAGCCTCCCCATTCCAAGTATTACCCACACTTGTACACCTTTTTTCTTAGGTTTGCACCTTGTGTAGCTAGAAGCAACAATAAAGCAATAAAGTATCTGCCATGTATCACTCCTTGTATCAGAACCCCAATGAAAAAAAATATCTGACCCACTTTGATTTGAAAGGAGATGCAACAAATTTGGTTTTTGGCCATGCAGCTTTGTAGAATTTTCCATGATACACACAGTGTATTGTATCTGTTACATTGTAGTAGAAGAGACAAGCTCTTGGCACTACATAGGCTGACGATATTGAACCCTGATGTGTAATATTTAAGCAGATGAATCTTTCCCTGAGCGTAACAAAACCTCAGCAAGCATTTGCTGGCAAGAGCCAGGCGCGAAGTGCATACAAGGCTCATTGATGAAACATTGAAACCTGCATGACAGAATCTGATTTTTGAGGCTGTTTTAGCATTTTTTGCCACTTGTTTTTTTTCCAACCAAAAAGTGTTACACTCTGTGGTACACTGGATCTGCGCAAGATGCCAGCACATCTTCCTATCTCTTTTGCTATTTGGTGTGGACATAGGCAATGGACAAATGAATATCACCAAGAGCTATTGCACCCAACAACAGGACACAGCCTGGAGAGCACTGGCAATATCCAACCTATCAGGACACTCATTTTGAGTCGGAGGCACCTCCTTATGTACCACCCTAGAGGTCAACATCTCTACCATTTTCAAGTTGGGAAGATGGACTTCCCAATGCTATAAGATTCACATCTGGCCTTATTTGGTGGAAGGTATCCAAGAAACACTTTGTATTTTGGAGTGTTTAGATGATAGTAATTGTTAGGTCTTGTGCTTTGAGAAATACAGTTTCAAAGTGATGGTGTTTGCGTAGGCTCAAGGCTTCTCCCAGAGTTTCAGGTGTAGCACAATCCACCCCCCACTTCTCACAGCTGTTGAAACAGCAAGGTGTTTTTCTCTCTGCTTCAGGAGCTGAGTCTTGTCCCGTCAGGATACATACTACAAAACACTCTTCCTAAGAGAAGTTTCCACACTGTTGAGGCGGACCAGGCTGGGAGCTGAGAGTCACAGATGTGAGTCTTGTGACAGATGACTGAACACAAAGATAAAATTTGTTTTAGATTTGGTGAGGAAGATCTACTGAGACGGAGCTGGTGTAGACTACATACAATCTCAGTTTTATTAGAAGCATACTAATCAGGCTTTAAGCATATTCCAACACACACCAGGTCTTACCCTATGGGAACTTGAGGCTCTCCCCAAGAACCAAACACTGCGGATGTGAAACCCCATCATCTGATGGGGACAACATTAAAAGCTTACAGGCAACCACTCAAGCCCTCATCCTCAGCGGCAATTTGTCACCCGGACAAGTGTGCAGAGACAGCTTGGATGTGATGACCAAATCCGACTCCAAAAACTGCAAGGATTCCAATGGTCTAACTCCCAAATCTTCAACTTGAAAAATGTGGGAGTTGGGCCATAATGCCTAAAATCCTGTGGCTGTATGGGGCCATGTACATGACAAAAATCACAGAAAAAGTGTGGTGCAAAAAACATAAAAACCGGATCCCAGGGGTTTGGGACAGCAAGCTTTCTGGGAAATGCTGTTGCAGGACCAATCTAGGAAACCTTCAACTGAAAAAAAACTCAATTTGTGGGATTACAGCCACTCTAATTCTAAACTTTTGCTTCTAAAATATGGAATTTCAGATGTTCATATGCAAGGAGTTGTGGTGTTTTGCTCACCTTGATGTTTTGGTGGCAACAGACTACAGTTGTTTGAAGTTTTAAGAGCAAGTAGGCTTTTTTGCATGCAATCAGCTACCATTTTTTACTTGATAGTTTGCCAATACATTATAGTTATGTCTGCTTGGATAGATTTAATAAATCTTATTTAATCTGTGATTCTGTCCCCTTCAATCCCAAGGGAACATTTTTCCTTCATTTTGACTCACTTCTTTCAAATCCCTACCCCTTTCCTCCCATTTTCTTGTGATCAGAATACTTTTTTTTTCAGTACAACTTTTGGGCTTGGCTTGGTCTCTAGATGTCTGAGAATCTGGCCATATATTCTTTCTTTATTACGGTAATCTTGGAATTAACGGCAAGCTTAAAATTAATCATAATACAGTCAAAATAGTTTTGATCCATAAAGCTATTGGTTGTGTTTGGATAACAGGAAGGTGACGCTGCCAAGGACTAAGTTGCACCGCAACAAGTCTTGCAGTACTAAGTAACGTTCAGGCTTGAAACACAGCAATGGCTGGGGACTTTGTATCGGCTGACTTGACGAAGGTGAGTGCACCTGTTTGAGGGTCCCTCTTGTGAACGCTGATTTGGTTGCTGTCTTGGTTGGCCACGACCATGAAACTGGCATTTGCATCTGGACTCAATGCACAGTGACGAGGGCCCTTTCCACCGGTCGGGGATGTACCTTTAGGCGTCAATTTGCCGCTGTCCAAATCTCGAGCAAAGATAGAGAAGATGTTATCCTCTTCCTTTCCAGCTTTATCCTTTTGTCTGTTGGTCGTATACAGAAACTTTCCATCGGGCGAGATGATAATCTCGGCGGCGTTGAATGTGTTTTTGGCATTAGGGGGGAGAACACTATGTTTCTCGATGATTTTTCCTTTTGTACTGTCTGTGATTTCTATCATCAAGAGTTGACTTGATAGTTCACAGAGTAGATAGAAGGTCGGCCGGTCGATTTTTTTAGGGTCGAAAACGAGATGGCGAGGGCCACAGCCGGCATCAATCGGAATATCTCGCTGTGGGGCTAGGGAGGTCGTCTTCCCATCACTGACAAGCGAAAACATATGCACTTTGTCCATGCCCAAATCGGGCACCAGGAGTAGCTTCCCGGCTGGCTGTTGATGGCCAAATCAATTCGTCCCAAAATTTGGCTAATCAGAATACAATTCATCCCGATTCTTCATCAAATATGTTAGTAAAAGGAAAGCTCACATCTAGTTTGACTTGATGCGCAGCAGCTGAATATATAACAACAAGGTCGTCAGCAATTGACCAAGTAATAGGATTCTTGGGCTATGATATGGATATTGATCCTGGAAGTTGCACTGACCTTGGGTTTGTCGTTCTGCCACAGGGCCCGGTTTTTTTATCTGAAACTTGAACGTTTTTGTTGGCTTAGCTGACAGCTTTCCGGCATTGAGATCATAAGTGGTCACGCTTCCCCCATTACTGCCAATTTTTTTTACAGAAAATGAACATGATTTTGATCAGCACTCATGGAAGAAGTCAAATCGTTCGACCTGATAGGTACAGGTAGAGATGAAAGAAAGAGGATGTCGAACAAATAATTTTATCAGACTGACAAGCTCGCAACCATGACGAGCTTTTCGTCAGGACTTATTTCAAGTGAGACAGGTGCTTCATCTGTTTCGGTGGATGAGATTTTCTTCAAAGTCCCATCAGCCGCTACGGCGGCTGAGAAGACACCCCCCGTCTTCTCTTTGCCATCGAATTTTTCAGCCGAAGTACTAGAAAGTCAGACAGGTCATTTGGGATCAGTACATGGGCAAGGACATTAAGGCTAATGAACATAAAAACCTAGATATCATACCTGATCATGAGCTTTTTAGCCTTGTCAAATTCGAACCATATGGGGCTGGGACCAAGCGCATCAGACCTCCCTTGAGCCTGAGGTGTCAACGTACCCTTGACAGTATCAAATGTGAATACTGAAATTCCTTGGCCTTGATCACCTGCAAAGTTTAAACATCATTAGACAAAGATCAATTTGTTTTTCTCAGGAGGATGCATTTTTTTTCCCCAAAAAATAAATAAATAAGCCAAGCAGAGATTGTCACAAACCGCCAACGAAGATTTTTAAAGTAGTACTAGTAGCCGAGGCAGCCTTAGTTGTGGCTTGTGCAGAACATATTTGAGACAACCCGGCAAGGCAGACCAAGCTGCACAGGAGGATTAGATTATTCATGATTGAATTTATAATTGTCTCGATTTACCACAGGCAAAATATTAGAGAAAGAAGGTGTTTTGTTTTGTTGGAGAATAGAAAAAATGGGAAGCGAAGAGCTGATGGGGCGGTGATTGATGGCCAAAGCCCAGGATGGGACCGAAAGCACATGGAGACGTGAAGGATATATACCTGGGAGGGCGTTGTGAAGGGCTTGATAGTGATTCCATGCGTGAAGAAATCAACAAATGAAAAACAGTAGCTCTTCATAGTGCCCGATTCCATCCGAAGACGGTCCCTCTGACGACCAAGGACGAGTCAGTTGTCGGATCAGTTCTTTGTTGATCCATTCAAGACATAGTGGCCAAGGACTCATTCGGAAAGGGAGTAGCCGAGTTCGAAGCTGGGTAACGAAATGGATGTACTTCCATGTTGCATTGAGGATATTCTTCCGGAGTCAGGTCGCACTTGGATAGGTATGAAGAGTGACTAATTGAGCTTCTGTAGGCTTTCTTTGGCTACGGACTTCTCGGTGCTCGAATGACTGAACGGTTTGAGTGAAATGATGAAGGCAGGATTATTGATGCATCGAAGTATTCGGGATTTCTCTTTTGTATCTATCCGACCGCCGAGCAGAGCTTGCCTAATTGACCGGTCACCAGCTCCACCGGCAGTCCGAAGGCATGCCAAGGATTAATCAGAGTGCAGATCGAATTTTAGACGATTCGTTGTACTCAGGCTGGCCTCGTAGAACATCTCAAAGCCTTGCAAAAGAACACTGTCATTTCAAGATGGTTCCTCAAGAGCCGAGGCAGAAGAACTTGACAGTCAGTCCCAAAAAGAGCTTCCTGAGTCTCAGACATGTGTAAATACATATAAGTCCACTGAGGCAGAGATGGAGCAGGACTTTCCAAAAAAGAAGTTGTCCTTTGAATATTCCACTTAATAGGCGAGCACATTTGCCGATCAAAATCACACCAAACATGATGTAGATCTCGGAAAGTTTTGCTCCAAATCCGGGCGCCAGTTCTGATCGGAGGTATCGGCGCGGTCAGCATGAGAACTTTGTTCATGATGATCTGTTCCGTGTTCCCGACGCCCGTGATGGATGAGGAAAGGTGTTGATGGCTTTGGATGGGGAACTCGCACCAACATCTTGGATGTCTACCATGGCAAACTCAGACTACCGACAACCACCAGCAAGGACACATCGACGAAAGCTGCAACTCTTCATCCTCTGCCTCATCAGACTATGCGATCCCATCTCATCCACAGTCATCTACCCCATGGTTGCATTCGTAAGAGGATGATCCTGTTGATTGATAATTTACAATTTGACCAAAACTGATATCAGATTTATTAATCATGTAATAGATGGTGGCCGAATTCAACCCGACCCTATCGGAGAAAGAGGTTGGCTTTTACTGTGGCGCCATCGAGTCGGTTTTCGCCTTGGGCCAATTTTCAACCATCATCTTTTGGGGAAAGCTGAGTGACCGTATCGGTCGGAAACCCGTTCTGATCATCGGCCTCGTAGGCGTGCCGATATCCACCCTCGCATTGGGATTCAGCTCCAGCTTCTGGGCTATGATGTTTGCCTCTTCTGTCGGAGGAACCCTGAACGGTTCGTTTCCATCATTCCCTGTTTCACTATCTTATGCGCACTGAAGCTGATACTTTGATTTATTTACTTGTAATTGACAGGAAATGCCGCGTTTGTTGCACTACTTTTTTTTTTCTCCTACTATGTAAATCATACGATTGATTGACATGGCTTCGGATTTTGTGATTCTACTAGGGTGATCAAATCTGTGAGCTGGCTTGTTTCTTTGGATAGCAGTCCACATTTATGATGGGCTGATCAATCTCCTATAATCTTGTTACCGCAGATGGTGGCTGAGATTTCCACAACTGACAACCAGGCCATGGCTTTCTCATTACTTCCAACATCTTTTGCAATTGGAGCGGCTATCGGACCATTACTTGGTAGCGCCTGATCATCCTGACTTTCACCGATTTGACTTGATTATTGATCTCTTCATGAACTATTTAGGAGGTTACTTGTCTCGTCCAGCGGAGAGGTTTCCAAACTCATGGTTTGGTAGCAGTCCCTTCTGGCAAAACCATCCCTGGCTTTTACCGTGTGCAGTAGCCGCAACAGTCCCCCTCATCGGCGTGGTGATGGCAACCTTATGGCTCACGGAGGTACACACTTTCAACATGTTTCCTCATCTCTGGTGTATTTATTGTTTACTGGGAACATCTTCTTTCTAGTAGACTCTCATCAGGAAAACCCCGACCTGCAGAGAAAGGGAGCCACTACTTCGATCGGAGACTGCGATCGATGTTCAAGGGCCACTCGTCTCTCCCGTACACACCCCTCATTCACCAAGCAAGATACTGGATCTGTTGAAAGATCGAAATCTTCTGGTCATCCTAATGTCCTATTCATTACTGTCTTTTCAAGTAACTCATCAATCTTCATCAATATTTTTTCCCAAGGCATTAAAGTTGACTCAACTGACTCGATTTTTTAGTCCAAATCTTTGGACGCCTTGATTATACTGTTTGCTTACACACCGGTCAAATCTGGAGGAATAGGATTCTCCAGTTCAGGTAATTGACTGATCTTGTACATCTTTCAAATCACTGATTATTATGACATTAATTCCAAAAAATCGGACCTTCATCTTTGGAAGATATTGGACTGGCTTTATCAGTCTGTGGGTTAATGACAATTTTTGTCCAGCCTGCATTGTTCCCTTTCTTCCAAAGGCGATGTGGGACTGCCAGGTTGTACAAGATATGCATGTTGGCATATCCCCTCATCTGTCCGTACGGTTTTCCTTTTCCTTCAAGAAAGGGTACCCTTCCCAGCTAACTAGACAGATGGACCACTTCATATTTAGTTCTCTTGCTCCCCGTCGTCCACTTGATAGCTCGAATTGAAGCCAACAATGGTCGAGATGAGAAAGCAAATTTTGCTGGGGTGTGGATTGGAATTTGGATAATCATGATTTTGAAAACCACAGGAAACATGGTATTCTGTTAGTCGACTGCTGTTCTTCAAATTGACATCTTGAACATCTTCCTTCCATTAATTTCCATAATCTGGATTCTTGATGTGGTCCATTCGATTTTTTTTTTCAGCCTGCAACATGCTTCTGGTGAGTGCAGCTGCGCCGTCGAGGGTTGTATTAGCAACCACCAATGGATTGGCCCAGTCTTGTGCTAGGTAAGTTGCATACGAAAAGTAGTGTTGAGTGCAGGACTAATAGTAATAGGCTAGCATATTGATCTTTGTTCATGAACTTGAGGAAAGTTTTATGAGAGCAGTTGGACCCATCACAGCTTCTAGTCTGTTTTCCATTTCGGTCAAACACCAGAAACTTGTGGATGGTAATTCGGTTTTCCTCTTATTTGCGTCCATTGCTCTGGGTGGGTTCCTTAACTCTTTGCACATCCAGGATGGGTGCGAAGAGTGGAGGAACACCTGATCCTTTTCCCTCTGTCATCATGCGTGTTAACGCTTAGAGCTATGTATGTATACTGTATTTGTGGCCAAGAACTACTTATAATCAGTTTGTTAGAATAGTTGTATGCGTAGTCCATGAATTCAGATTTATCCTGCATGAAATAGATTGAATACACATCCTTCTAACCCTCCAAATTATGTCACAGGATAGGATTTAGTGATAGGATTCAATCTTGATGAACTCCATTGAATTTTGAGCCAAGACAGCTTCAATAAACATTTTGATCCTCATGATGCAAAAGGACCCCGGCAAGCCCTAGGATAGGGGGGTGTTGAAAAAGTCTGAATTTTGGCAAAATTCATACCCGGGGGCCCCGCGGGGAGTCACTTTTTTTTGGAAAACTCATACCTTTTCAAGAGTATGCTCCAGCTAAAATCCCCTAAAAAAAGGGCAGCCCCCGGTAAAATGTCCAATCTGGGGCCAAATACCAAGATTTTATTGGTTTAAACCAGGCTCACATACCTAATATGGCCTCTTTCATGAGTACCATTTCAACAAAAATCACAAATTCATACCCATTTCAAGAGTATGATTTTTTGCCATTTTCACATACCTTTTTCAACACCCCCCTACATATTAGGGGGCTTTCCGGGGTCCTGATGCAAACCAACATGAACTACTTCATGTTATTACTCATTGAGAAACTAAGGCTTGGTTGCCATTCAGTCTGCAAGAAGGATTTATTTTAAAAAACTTTTTCAGACATGGCACCATCAACTCTAACTGGCAACCATTGTACATCAAAGCACCTGTTCTCAGCACAGGTCCATGTTCCTGGAATCCTTGGGAGCAGAGAGAGATCCCAAAAAGTCTGAGCAGAGTGGGATTTGAACCCACGCCCGAAGACTAGTGATTCAAATTCTCCTCAAGCAGAAGATGAACCTAAAACTAGCGCCTTACACTACGGACAATTAGCTGTCGCTGCGGCCCGCAGCGTCACCCAGACGTTTCAAGTCAAACTGAATCCTCATGCTACGTCAGCAGCAGCGACAACTCCGACCATGAAACGACAGATCACAATTTCCTTCAACACAGCTAGCAACATCAACCTTTGACGATTCGATTCTTCCTCATCTTCGGCACTCATCTAATTGATCGCATTCTGTAATATCTCTCCAGGTGCTTACACCTGTCAAGGCCCTCAATCCGGCGGCGTAGGTCAGTCAAGCGACAAAAAAAACCATCGCCTCCTTACTCAATTGGCTAACCAACTCTTGCGCTTCGTTCGGAGTTTGCCATCATTGTGTCTCAACTCCCAACGGTGTCCTTCCCTCCAATAACTCATCCACTTTCAACACCCCTGGACACTCTGTTTATTCTGGATGACTTCATAAATTCAATAGGCAAGCCGTACTTTCGGCATGCCTCCTTGATGGAATATAGTACCCTTCTCATTATTTTATAAAGTGGACTCGAACCCTGTGCAAATGACCTCTGCTTCTGGTGGTCCTTGAATAAATGATTATTTCCACTTCACATTAATTTCAACATATTCGGCTTCTTGAATCGCCTGTGGTCGATCACTCTGATGCATCCCATTAGATCAACACCAGGTGTATGTATCTAAACCCGCCACATTTCTCCCCTAGTGCAGCTGAATGGTTTGCGACCTCATATATACAACCTCAAATCCCATGTAACTTGTGAGCAGTATATGGGGCTGAAATATGATTAGAATAAGTAGAAATGAAGGCACTACCCCCATAGCGCGACTGTTGTTTGCCGTTGCTCTGAGGCCATTAATGGACGATTTACTAAGATGATTGGGTGTTGGTTAAATTTCCATTTCCGGATCACCTGTTGACTCGACATTAGCTGTTTGTCTGCCCCAGTGGCTTGTCTTGCAGTTGTAGAATGATATGAATATGAACACACGGATTGTGGCATGCGGCTCCGGCTCTGCTGTAGAGATACGGCATGCACAAGTGATGATGCATGGCTGGACAAACAGTCCAATGAGCCAACAGGCATTTTCGCAAGGCCCAATGGGTGAACATCGCCTAATATGTATGTATGTGCTCGGTCCGACTGGATGGTTTGCTCTGCGCCAAGCTATCTACCAAGCTAACCCTTGGTTAATGAGGCTCAATTTCTACTGCTGACTTTCCCTGACTTGCTGTATTCGGGTCAATTAATGAAAGTTGTGTTGAATGAAAACTGCCGAGTCGGAATGGGTGATCGATCGGATTAAGTAATCTTTTGGCGACCAGCTGAATCCGGTGACTGTTCTTTCTTTTGGTGATGGGCATGCGCATGTTGTTGGACTTGCGTCTGCGATGAAAGCCAGAACAATGCGCGAGCTTATGTACCGGAACAGACTAGAGAGGGTGAAAGGGAACAGCGGGGGAAGAGGGCCAGAAGGATTCAGCAAGCTCACCAATCACCGATTTCCATATACGTCATCCCAGCCCTTGCTTGTTGCCCTTAAGCGATCCATCGATTTTCATACCAGCACTGTAGTCATATCGAAGAGGCGGTTGGATGAGCCAAACCCGCTTGGTGAGAAATCATCCAACAACGAGTTTGTGCTTGTCCTCAAATCAGGGGTCCCTTTGGGACCCTCCGATTGCAAGACTTTTTTGAGCTGAACGGTGGTCGAGACTGGCTGGTCGGGGTGGTGATACCGAGAAAGAAAGGGCCACTCGAATATTTAAAAATAAAAACAAAAACAGTCGATGGAGCAGAACAGACCAGACAAAATAAAACTTGCTTTTGGCAATACCCCACCAATCTAGCACATTCTTAGCTTGGGCCGACAGTTATCTCCCATTCTCAACTTCTCCAACTACACCCCATTGACGGCCGGCTCGTCTCCCAGGAATTACAAACCCCATCCAAAGCCACCTCGTATCACATATTGTTTCTGTTCCAAGGACTCTTTATGATGTAATATTACTTTCTCATTGCAGGTTTGTTTTGTTATCTATTGTACAAAGATTGAGACAAAGATGTAAAGGAAAAATTAAATGTCAGAGGGTTCTTTTTTTGTTGACAACATAGAAAAAAGAAACAAAACGAAGGACGAATTGTGATTGTTGAGTGGGGAGAGAGGGGGGTGAAGAGGAAAGAGTAGTCCGAAGAAGAGAATGACAACGAGAGAGGAAGGGGGAAGGAGAAGACGATGAAAATCATGAATCAGAGAGCACGAACAAAAACATCCCAGACCCACCACCTGATCCGATTGAGCAACTGGTCCTGCTGCCATAACTGATGATCAACCTGACTCCGGACTCTGATAGCGAGAGAGTTATGGAGTGTCAGGGTCTCTAAAGCTAATGAAGCAGTCGAACTTTGACGGATGATAGACTTGGTCGTTGTGTTTGATTGAGGAAGAGGTGGGCGGGGAGGAGTGTGGTGGTTGGTCAAGATGATATCGGGTGCTTGCTGTCGTTGCGAGAGGGCTGGTGTCGTTGCAAGTTCAACTTTGATTTGCTCGCGCGACACCTGAATCTGGTGGGAAACGTCAGGTGACGCTGCGGGCCGCAGCGACACCTATTTGTCCGTAGTGTTAGACCACTCGGCCATCTGCCCATGGAATACTCATGTCAATGTGAGCAAGTGTCGTGCATTTGTACTGCTGAGGTTGCATCAAGTCTCCCTGGCCATATTTTGAGGCTGAGGTGATGATTTTTCATATTGCAAGAAGCTTCAAGGAAGATCTCACGATTCCCCTGTGCATTCTGTCTTCCTTTTCAAGCCCAAGTGAGCTCTGCAATTCATACCTTTGCTTATATTCAGAGAAGGTTGGATGATGTGGCTATAGATCAATGTCCAACAAGCACCAGTTTCAAAATGAGTTCAGGAGGATGGTCAAAATTGGCAGAGAAAGTGGGATTATCTGGCAGTTAAAAATCAGTATGAAATATCAGCTGCTAATTATGTGATAGCCATAGTTTTTTTTTTCAGTTCCAGGGATATCTGGGCACTTTCTTGCTCCCTGTTTTCCTTTCTCAGATTTTTGATCTTACTATGGATAGCAAGCCATGTTGTCTAAAGTAGTGTTTGGGTTGAACTAGCACTTCTTCCTGTTGGGTTGGGTATGGATACATTTTTTTTTTCAAGCCTGTCCTGTCGCAGTTTTATGTTAGCTGCACATGAGTCAGCTTTGCTTCCCCTTGTGAGTGGTAAGATGGGATCAAAAAACATTGGAAAGAGATATGTGCATGCGGTTCATGGGTTGCCCCAGCTTCCAGTGGCTTGGCTCCAGTCCCAACCATCTTTCGTGCTCGAAATTGAGTCAAATTCTGGCCTTGATTTGGACCAGATGCACAGTGGCTTGGCGGACAGGGAAACCAATGGCTGGAGATTTGTCTCATATTCAAGCTGGGGACAGATGTTTCTCTGAAATTTGGCTGGAAGTTAACTTGGCTGCAGGTTTGGCAGAGTTCCAGGATCACCTCGATGGAGTTGATCTTGAGGGATTGCCCAGTCCAGATTTGAGCCCACTGTTTTGTGAAGCTTTGACCATGAAGATATCAGTGGATGGATGCCCTTGGATTGATGAACAGAGTGATGGTTGACCCTTGATGTGACCAACCAGAGAGCCACAGGTTGAGTGTTGGCTTTCGAGTGCTCACCCAATCCTCATATCATGTCCACCATGCCAAACTCAGACTCAGACCACCCACAACCACCAGCAAGGACGAATCGACGAAACCTTCAACTATTCATCCTCTGCCTCATCAGACTATGCGAGCCCATCTCATTCACAGTCATCTTCCCCATGGTCGCATTCGTAAGAGGATGATCCTTTTGATTGATTTACAATTTTAACCGAAACTGATGCTACATCTTTCGAATAGATGGTGGCCGAATTTAATCCGACTCTGTCAGAGAAAGAGGTCGGCTTTTACTGTGGCGCCATCGAATCGATCTTCTCCTTGGCCCAATTCTCAACAATAATCTTATGGGGAAAACTGAGCGACCGTATCGGCCGGAAACCCGTCCTCCTAATTGGCCTCCTAGGCGTCTCGATCTCCACCCTCGCATTCGGTTTCAGCTCCAGCTTCTGGACTATGATTGCTGCTCGTTCTATCGGAGGAATCCTGAATGGTTGGTGTCCATACCCCTCTGTTTGATTTATCTTATCCTATCTCATGCTCGCAAGAGCTGAGGTTATTCGTTTATTCCACAGGAAACGCCGCGTTTGTTGCGCTTCTTTCTTCTCCGACTAAATCGTGCGATTGATTGACATTGCCTCAACCTCCTAACACCTGGAATGATTGACTTGGCTTCGGTGTCTGTGGTTCTACCAGGGTGATCAAATCTGTGTGTTTTTATTTCTTGTGATATCACTCTGTCTATGATGGGCTGATTAATTTTGTAAATCTGATTGTAGATGGTTGCTGAACTCACCACAACTGACAATCAGGCCTTGGCGTTCTCCTTACTACCTACATCGTTTGCAATTGGATCGGCTATCGGCCCATTACTTGGTAGCTGATCACATTGGCTCTCACTCATTCAAGTTCATTATTGACATCTTTCTCAAATCGTAGGGGGCTATTTATCTCGTCCAGCGGAGAGGTTTCCTCACTCATGGTTTGGTACTAGTTCCTTTTGGCAGAACCATCCCTGGCTTTTACCATGTGCAGTGGCCGCAATAGCCCCTCTTCTCGGTTTTGTGATGGCAACCTTGTGGCTCAAGGAGGTAAAATGAATTCAAAGGAATCCTTTATTAAAGTTAAATCCTGTCGAGAACGTTCTCTTATTGACAATGCCGCCTTGCTCACTTTGATTTAGACATTGATCAAGAAAAACCCGACCAACGGTGAACGAGCTCCATTGCTTCAATCCGCAACGGATATCGATGCTCAAGAGCCACTCGCCCCCACTGCCCCCACTCCTGCTTCACCAACTAAGATCGTCGACCTGTTGAAAGATCGCAACCTACTGATCATCCTGATATCGTATTCATTACTGTCTTTTCAAGTCAATCCTCATTCGGCGTCGCAAAATCTTCCCAAGACCAAACAACTGACTTTTGATTTCGTCAAATTGACACGTTTTGTAGACCATATCTCTGGAAGCCTTGATTGTACTATTTGCTTACACACCAATAAAATCTGGAGGGATAGGGTTCTCCAGTGCAGGTAATTGAACTCTCTTCCTCTTATACCTCTTTTCTTGAAAAAACGTATTCAGCCCGTTTGCTTTTTTCCAGATATCGGATTGGCTCTATCAGTATCTGGAGTAATGATCATTTTTGTCCAGCTTGGACTTTTCCCTTTCTTTCAAAAACGATTAGGGACTGCCAGGTTATACAAGATATGCATGTCAGCGTATCCTCTAATCTGTTCGTATGACTTTCCTTTTGCCATAAGACAATGGATCCTTCAAAGCTGAGAAGAAATATGAATCTCTTCCTGTTAAGTTTTCTTGTTCCCTATCATTCACCTCATCGCTCGATTCGAAGACAATAATCGTCAAGAGGGGGTATCTGATTTCACGGGGGTTTGGATTGGAATTTGGATCATCATGATTTTAAAAACCACAGCAAACATGGTATTCTGTTAGTGGACCGCTTTGCTCCGTATTCACATCTATCCCTCCTTCCACCCTCCAGATCCTTGACGACGTAGCCGGTTTGTTTTAACAGCTTGCAACATGCTCCTGGTGAGTGCAGTAGCGCCGTCGAGGGTCGTCTTAGCAACAATCAATGGATTGGCCCAATCTTGCGCTAGGTAAGTGAGATACAAAAATTTATGTTGAACGTGGGACTGATTCTGTAAAATATTCAATTTTGTTCATAAACTTGCAAAGCTTTGTGAGAGCAGTCGGGCCAATCACAGCTTCTAGTCTATTTGCCCTTTCGGTCTTACACCAAAAATTTCTCAATGGCAATTCAGTTTTCCTCTTGTTTGCATCCATCGCTCTTGGTGGGTTCCTGAACTCTTTAAACATCCAAGATGGACGCGAGGAGTGGAGAAATACTTGAAACCCTGTCTCTCTGACATTGTGTTTATCAAGGCTTCAGAGTTGTTGCATATTGTCTTTGTGGTGAATACCTACTTATAATCAGTTTCAGTACGATTGTTGCATCTTCAGTCTTGTTTAGATTGGTACTGCTCCAAAGTACATGCTTCCTCAACCTTCAAATTAATTCTTGATATTATGAGATTGACTGATACAATGTGGATGTCAGTTTAACCTTTTATGTATAGCTGGAATCTCTTCAACCAGTTGTGAGCTCAGTTGATCGACTGCCTCATGCTACGAACTTCAGACAGCACATGTTGCAAAAAACCTACCACAGTGGAAGCTGTCCTAACCCATGCCAATTGGGAGGCAAACTTTCCAATGGGTTTGGGCAGGAACCTTTCCAGCCAATTTCTCAAATTGGGAAACCCATTATCTTATGGGTTTGGATAGGTTACGTGTCTAGGCAGGCATGCGCTAGGACAGGTTCTAATGTATTGAATTGACACCCAAATTAGGAGTACGAAGGTTAAAAAAGAAAATATCACAAAACCCAAAAGGAGAAGGGACAAAAGCGCAAAAGACACCAAAAATTGCAGGTGCAGAGAGCCATAAACAGGAAGCAGAAAGCATGAAAAGCCCTAAACTTCAAATAGACTGAAGATCTAAAAAATAGAAATCACAAAAGACCCAAAAGTAGAAAAAATACAAGGAACCAATCATAAAAATACCTGAAACATACCAATCACAAAAGACCCAAAATCAGAAAACACTATGGAACCATATCCCAAATATAGAAATCACAAAAAAAAACCAAAAAGAAATAATATCCAAAAACCACATAGACCAAAAAAGAAAGAACCCTAAAGTTACAATAAAAAAAATTGGAATCATTTCTACAGGCCTTCAGGTTTCAATTTCAAGACCAAGATATTCTTTAAGGTTAGACTTCAAAGTACCAATTTTTTGTATTTCATCAAGGTCATTGTTATTTAAAGTTTTCTCAAGTTTACCCAAGTAGTTAGAGATTTCAGAATTGAGGCAGGTGATGAGATTTCCCAAAATCTTACTCTGAAATGCATGAGCATTGATGCTTTTGACTTTGTGCTTCCAATAGTCAATTAAATTTTTAGTCACTTTGTTAATAGCTTGTGACTCTGTTACTGAGTAGAATTTCTTGTCACCTTGAATTTGTGTGAAGTATGATTGACCACTGACTGTTTGCTGGGAATCTGTCAAACGAATGCTATTCTTTGCTTCAATTTTCATATCACGTTCTCTTGCTTGCACTGCTTGTATTTGCAGTGTTTCACCATACTTGAAATATAAAGACTTGAGTACATCAGAATATTGCTTGATTACTGCATCAAGAACCATAATGTGTGGATGATGAGGTAAAAACTGAAGAATTGAATTCCCTTTCTTGGGAATGTAAGGAGTGTGATATTTTACCAAATGCTGTAGCATATTGTGTAATATCTTCAAGTAAATTTTCACATTATCTTTGTTTTGGAATGATTTGTTTTCTTCAATATAATTGAGAGTGTAGGTGCACAGTTCATCAATTAATGATTCTGCATTTAAAAAAGAAGGGTATGCATCAAGTGTTTTTGTAACCATTGGTGATGTCAGTAGGAGGAATTTATCTTCAATTTCTTTGAACTTTTGTGATCCTTTGAATAATTCAAGTTGAAGGTTGAGATGCAACCAGGATGCCATTTGCCATCCACTTCTGTGCTGTGTTCTTGAACCATTCAAACTCATATCTGATTTGAAATCAATTAAAGAAAGACATAATTTTCAGAATTGCCTTAATCAAGAAAAGCTTATGAGGATTAGGCAAATGGGTGGCCAAACCTATGGATGAGATTGATGTTTCTACTCACATTTTAACAAACCATGTATGTCTTTAGTAAATGGGCTTTCTTGAACACTACTCTGGAATTCAAAGTTCAGATAAAAGTTGGCAACATCCTTATTTGTAGAAAACCTTCCCAAGATGTAATTGAATATAATGTGTCCCTTCTTATTATCGTTCAAAATTGTGCGCAGGCAATTTTCACTGATTAGTTCATTCTTCTCTGAATAGGAAAAAAAGTTGACCAAAGCATCATTCAACATGAACATCAAAGAATATTTTTCAGCTTTTTCATCTTTCTTATCTGCTTGTTTCTGTAAAAACTCCCATGCTTCCTGAACCTTTTCTGACAGTTCTAAGGCCAATTGATCATTTTTCTTGGAATTTGTTGGAGCAACTTGAGCCAGTTTGTTCTGAATCTCAAGTACAATTGTTTTAATGTCCAACTTCTCTTTTGTATTCATTTTAAGCTTATTACTTTCCATGAGGCATAGATAGAAAGGCTTCCAAAACTCCCTGTGAATTTCTTCTTCTATTTCTATATTGAATATTCAAAAGTTTATTTGTCCTCAGAATTGAATGATAGTCTGCATAGATCTTCTGAAATGAAATTAAATACACACCTATTTTACTTCCTGCTTGTAGATATTTTAAAATGAATAATATTCCATGAGTCTGTCTGATCAATAATAATTTATGAATTGATCTTACCTCGATTTAATTGGTTCTTTTCATCTAAATTATATCCCTTTTGTATAGGTTGAAATTTTTGAACTCCCTCACTACTCTTCCCAGTTATCACTGAATGTTTCTCAATTTTCAGTTTACCCAATTTTCATAATAACATTAATAGAAAATGAACCAAATGAAAAATTCTCACTTTGACCAACTTCTATTGGATTGAGTTCTTCATAGCCGTGGTTCATTTTTTTTGTAGCACCTTAAAATCAAAATCATCCAAATTTTAGTAAAGATTCCCAATCTGTATCAATCAAACCTGAAAAAAAATATTTCTGCATAAGATTTGGATTTCCTTACTTTCCCTGGCATTCATGATTCTGTTAAGCTCTTGAGTGATGTGATCATTTGTAACAAAGCACCTATTTTTTCCAAATAGTCCCAAAAGAAAAATGAAAAAGATGCAAATATTTGAAACCTGCATTTTTGGAATATATGCTGCACCCATTTTGGCTGGAAGGTCTATGAATGTTGGCAAACAAAACTTTTAACTATGATATTTTTTCTTGAATTCAACTAGATTTAATTTTTGAATGTCTGAAATAAGTTTTATAGTGCTTAATCAGGTCTAGGTGGCAGAAAGATATAATTTATATTGTGAATATGTTTGTTTACACATTTAGAGGGGCATCTTTTAAGCTGGCCATACCTTTTACTAATGCTGCTAAATTGATCATGTCCTGTCTTTTAAGGATCAATTTTCAAAACAAATTTGTTTGAAGGTTCAGTCAAACTAGTTTCAAAATTGTGCATATTTATGTTTCAGATTAATGTTGACCAGACAGGCTCCTACAGAAATATTCAACTTTGAAAAATGTAGCTGGCTTCATGAGGACCAGAGTTCAACTCTGAAACTGAAAACATGTATAAGAATCTGTATGGCCAAACCCTGTCTGGAGATGCCATCAATGTTGAGCAGGGCAAATTTACTTCCCGTGGGTCATATTTGCACCTGAGACTCATGAACAATAAACAGTTGCCAAAAGTGTATCCATTAATACAGGTCACCACCAAGCTGTGTGTTTCTTATATGTGGTTTGGTGTGACACAATCCTTCAGTCTAACTTGCAGCTACTAATTTTCATGTATGCCATGTGGAATAGAATCCCTTAATAGGGATTAAGATTTTACACAGAAATGTTTGGCTCAAAAAGTAGAAATTTTCTGATTCAAAGCAGGGTACTTGTGTAGGCAGCAGTGGCTGGCATGATGTCACCTACCATCTAATGACAATGAACTGTTCCTGATTTTCCATATGTGAGAAAACCAAGCTCCTAAGGAATCCCATCAATACCCTTGGGACAGTTGAATTGATGTGACAAGTTCCCATCCATAACTGAAACACAAAAAAGAATGTGATTAAAGTTTTTATCAAGAAAATGTTTCAGTTTCTCCGGTGTGGTATGTCCATACCTTTCCATGTATCCTCATTTTTCTTCATCATTTACATATATTCTTCCCAGTATTATTTCATATTCAGATTCTACACATTATTTCACCCCTAGTCACCTCTTACAACTTTTCAGTAGCTCTTATAGTTCTCTAGTTATCAGCTCTTCAGTATATTCATAGTTACAGAACAGTACATTACTTTATACATACAGTACATATACATTACACATTATATAGTTACAGTCTCTATCACTACAAGCAATACCCATTTTGCCCCAAAAATAAATGGCAATTTGGGTGGGGGAAAATGGATCAATTTTCTGGCAATTTTTTCCAAAATGCCTCAGGAGTAGAAATTAGGCTAAACTGAGCTATTTTAGCCCAGAGATAGAAATTCATCAAACATTCCAAAATGATTTTTGAGCTCATTTGAGACATTTTTATTTTTTGGCTAAAATAGCTCATTTTAGCCTAATTTTTTACTCCTGAGGCATCTTGTAAAAAAAGTGCCAGAAAATTGATCTATTTTCCACCATCCAAATTGCCATTTTTCCTTGGGGCAAAATCAGTATTGTTTGTAGTGTATGTAGAATCACTCATTCATCATGGTACATCACCATTACTACATACTACACTACATATTCAGCATAACCATAACTACATACATCAATCAGGATAACCTTAACTACATTACATCATGTACATATTTCCTTTCACACTGCTTTGACTTTCCATACCTGATTAACACTTGTATACACAGAATATCTGTCTCTTAGCTACATTATTTCTCATCACTCATTACTGTTCAGGACTTACATTACCCATAGCCAGGATTTCTCTGCCATAGTGCTTTGCTGTTGTATTTACATGTTGTACACATATATACTCTTTCTTCCCTCTCATGTATTTCCCCCCTCATGCTATGTACCCTGCCTGAATTATCTTCTAACCATAGTCTTAGAAATCAGAAATACTAGTATCACCCTTATATCTTTACCAGATATCTTTGCCAGTTATATTTGCCAGTTATACATCCCCCCTTGCCAGTTATAAATCCTCAATTGCCAGTTATAAATCCTCATTTGCCAGATTATTCCCCTTGCCAGTGTCATCCTCATTGCCAGTGTTACCCCTTGCCAGTATTATCCCATCACACCTCATTCCTCCTCCTCCTCACACCTCAGTAGGTACTACATACACAAGCTCATCAGTAATAGCAGTCTAAGATAAAGTAGAAATCAGCCACACCTTTCTTCTTCTTTTTCTTAGTGTTACACTCTACCCATTAGCATTGTACAGGAGGGCAGCCTCATTAGCACCTGTAGTCTCAACTTACATTAGTACTAGTGTAGTTGTCTATATCCCCTCCAAGCTCTATCTCCCTGGTTGAGTAGTTCCACACCGGTTGGCTGTAATTTATGAATGTGGTAACACCTGAGACAAATACAAAATTCACTGGAACAGTAAAAAAGGGAACTCAGTAATACATGTCTCCATCAAGCTGTGAGACAATCCTTTGGTCCAACGTGAGGAGCTAGCTACTATATTTTCTGTACACCATTTGAAATGAAACAGCTCCCAGAGCAGATATTTGAACTTAACAAAGTCCCTCCCTCCTACAAGATGGAGTGTTGAGACATTGGTTTCATTGTACCAAATATAGGGAGAGACTTATGGCTTTGCTGTAATCCCTGCTATAGGCTATTTCAAGTTTCACTAGCTGAGGTATCTGACAGTCTGCTTCCATGATGTATCACTACATGCCAAACCATGAACAGCACCACCCAACCACCCTGGAAGTCATAAGTGTCTGTATCCTAGGTGGTAAGGGTTAGGGCAAAGGTGCAACAAGTACAGTACACATATTGTAGCTGCACTACATTTTATTGTATCTTGTTTTGAGTACACGTGTATTTGAATACATTGTATTTCCCTGGTCAACAAATACAATACAAGTGCATTGTATTTAGCCGGCAGGTACCGTGGGTAGACAGTGAAAAGTGGCTGCTTATTTTGGATTCCAGAGCTCCACAACACAAATTTGAAATCATGAGACTTGGTCAGGTGGTGCATAATAGTTCCCAAAAAATGAATATCAAAAAATAAAGTTTCAAAATTTGTTATGAAAATTGGATTATACCATAAAATTCTAAACATTTTATAATGTAGGAAACAACTTTAAAATTTAAAAAATAAGGTGTAAAAATCAATTAAAAAAGGGCCTTAATTAAAAATGCGGGTTTTCCGTGTTTACACACAGTTTTGCAGCTGCGCAGCACACGTGGATTGAATTACACACTCAATGACGGAGAGAGAACCTCTCAGCCGTCGAGAGTGTACACCCTCAACGGCTGAGATGGGTTTTGGGGCATCAACTCCGTCCCCCTCCGGGGGTTTTGTTTTTTTTATTTAAAATTTTTGAGGATTTGACTCCCAAACCCGCTGACGGTTTTGGGGAATCGACTCCCAATACTCAGGGAATACGGGGGAATTTCGGGGGTTTTGAGGGTTTGGGAGTCGACTCTCCAACTTTTGGGAGTCAGTTAACCAAGCCCCAAAAATTAATTTAAAAAACACGTGCAAACGCAGAATCCACTAGAGTAGAGATGTCAGCAGGTACCTGTTTGCAGGTACCCGGTACCCGTTTGCAGGTACCTGTTTTCCAAGGCAGGTACCCGTAAACAGGTACCGGGTGCGGGTGCGGGTGTCAACATTTGCGGTAAAAAAAGGCAGGTACCCGGGTACCCGCCTTACACCCGCCCTGGGAATGCTTCCCCTGAAGAATTTCATTTATCATTGGTGGTCCAAAACTCCCTTTTTTGGGTGTGTTGGGCTGCACAAAGGTGTCAGCAACCCATGTAGGACACCAGCTGGTGTCTTACATGTGTTGCTGAACTAATCTGGTTGCTTTGTTGAGGCTGGAGGGTTCCCTCCGGCCTTTGAGATGGTGTACAGTCTTGATGACTGGAGGAATTCCTCCAGTCATAAAGACGGTGTACAGTCTTCATCAATGGACATTGAATAAGGCAAATGAGGCCAAGCAAAAGGGTAAAGATAAAGATAGATCAGAGAGAAGATAAAATTCAAATTGGTGATGGAATAATTTGTTTTTCTTTATTTCTTTATTTTTATTTTATTCTTACTCATATATCTAGTGAATATCAATCTTATATTTACCAAGTCATGCAGAAATTCAAGGGTGAGATTTCTGGGTATATTTGCCTGCAAAAATGTGCCAGGTACCTGCAGGTACCCGGCGCAGGTACCCGGGTACCCGCCCTGGCTGCCCTAGCAGGTGCGGGTGCGGGTGCGGGTGTCAAAAATATTGGATTTTTGAGGCAGGTACCCGCACCCG